TATATAGAAATCCTTGCATTTGATTAGATTATTAGATCATCCTGGTAGCTAAACATGTTACAGTACCTCAATTTATTGAAGCTCCAACAACAAAAACAAATTTCGTTTGTACAGCGCCTTTCACATCCGGAGGATGTTCCAAGGCGCTGGACAGTCAGGGATTTGGACCCGAGCAGGGGTTTGGGATCAAGCGAATTCAACTTCAGTGCTCTACAAGAATACAGTGTCAGAACTCCTCAAAGCATGGAAACTTTCTGTTGTCTACTGCGCCTGAACAGAAACCTAGTACTTTTCCACAGCAAGAGAACTGGAGGTACATAGCCTCTGAGCTGTTCTCATAAGCTTTTGTGCCAAGCCTTTGTGTGGCCTGATGCAGAGGCCAGGAAAATCTTATCCTGATGCTTTACTAGGTAGAGTATGGCTGAAGTCAGGAAGAATAAAAGGTTTCCACTTTTGTGTTATCCTGTACTCTCTCATCTGTACAGGCTCTATGCAGTGACAGATCATGTGCAGCACCTTAGAAGCTAATAGATACCAATACAATCATAGGGTATTATGCCACGAAATGTAAGAAAAGAATTCCTATGCTTTATACAGCTGTCAGAGCCTGACGATTGCCCGAGAGCCTTAAATGGGACCTCAGACAACCATTGCATATTCAATCTGTCAATGTAATCTTTTTCTGGATCTTGTGGTACATGTTTTGTCTTATAGATTCATGCTTTTAACTACCCACATTGACTTTTGATGTGCAGCTGCTTATTTTCTCTTGCTGCCGTTACATTTAGCATTCAAGTTATCACTGCTGCTATTGCCCTGCTCCATAGGCAGCTTTTACATGTTACTGATGTGCACAACATGGCAGCCCTGACCCTTTGCTGCTGTTTCTGTCATCTCTGAGGAAATTAAGTGTGGATGATAATAATAATAATAATAATAATAATCCTTGCATTTGATATAGTGTTTTTCATGTCCTCTAGACGTCTCAAAGCGCTTCACAGAATAGACTGTAAAGTGAATTGACTGTATATTTGTGGGCGAAATGCCGCAGCCAATTGCGCACAGCAGTGTCCCACAAGCATGTCAGATGATTCAAACCAAACACTTTATCAAGTGTATATTTTACTCTGCACATTGAGACTAGGAAATCACATAATCCACGGTGTGGAGTGGGAAGGATAAATAAGGCTTTCCGTTCCGCATTACTAAACTGCTGGGTGCAAAGCAGTACGTACAAGGCATTACAAAAATGCTTTAAATATATTCCTTCTATTGCGTGTCTTTCTTGTTTGCTTTCTCTTTTTTTTCTTTTCCATATTCACTATTTTATCTTTTCTTTTATTTCTGTGTTTTTTTCTTATAAACCCACCTTTTATCCTATTTCTTAACTGACTTGCATTGAATTTTGATTGTAAGGACCATAGTGGATAAAATCTATCTTTGATTGGCTGAAACCTGTTTTCAGTATATACTTTAAAGTATCTTTTGGATGAGACATTGAACAGCGGTCCTTTCTGCCTATTCAGATGGATGTTAAAGATCAAGTAGTGTTACTCAAAAAGACAAGGGAGTTTCTCCCGGTGTCCTGGCAAAAAATCCCCCATATAAAATTGGTCATTTGTTTCATAGCTGCTCGTGGGACATTGCTCTGCGCAATTTACTTCACGATAAATCCTGTGAAGCACTTTAAGATGTCCTCCTGACTTGAAAGGCGCTATACCAAATGCAAGGATTATTATTATCATTTTGTCAATAAATTGTGTGCCATATTAAAGCGTCTTGACTCAACTTGTCAGTGTTGTGACATGGTAAAAGCTTTTGATGTCTCTTTTTGGACAACTCTGCAGACTTCACGCTGGGGAAGTGCAGAGTGTATAACTCAAGGAGGAGAACTCATTGAATGAATTGCCAAACAGTGCTGTGGGGGGGAATTAGTATTTATTCAGAAATTTGATGTAAACAACAGAAAGTGCTGAACAAAACCATATTGTACTGTCAAGTGTTTAGTCTTCTCAGATGTCGTGTTGCTGCGGGGGAAAGTTTTGGCAGAGGGTTTGACTGTACTTTAGTGTGGTGAGCATTTTGAATTGGATCATTGGAAACGTTTTATGGTTCGCTCAGCATTTTGTGTTAAGTTGTGCTTGGACCAGGAAGCCTACATAAGAGGATTATTTGGGAAGAGGTTTGATACATTGGAATTTTATTCTTGGATCAGATGAAAGTTTATACAGAGTTGACTGCAACGTAAGAAGACTTTGTTTTACTATTTCTTTCCAACTGTTTAAATGCAAGGAAAGCACTGGAAAGAGAAATCCAGGCTTTTCTTGTGTTGCTGTTATTTACCCAATTTAGGTGGCCGGTATGTTATAAAGCATAATTTGGGTAATAGATTAAATAAAGAATTAGCGATCACAACATTGAAATAACTCAATTGTAGGAACAATGTCAAGTTGCAACTGTATTCTGTAAAGATTTGCTGCTGCTACTCAACACCTTGTAACATAATCCTTCAGTACTTATCAACAGCAGATACCGTTAGGTGGGCTGCTGGCATGTAAGGCTTGACAGGGGGATGCTTTTCGCTGTTTGCCCTGTTCACCCCCTTAACTTCCTCCCACCGTGAAAAGCGCTACTTCAGAAGTTCTCTGAAGTATAAAAAATTACAAAGAACTGCAAAGAATGTACAGCATGGAAACAGGCCATTTGGCCCAACCAGGCCATGGCAGTGTTTATACTCCACACAAGTCTCCATCCATTCCTTACTCCCTCCCATATCCTTCTGTTCCCTTCTCCTTCATGTGACGGTCTAGCTTCCTCTTAAATACATCTATACTATGATGCTATATTAAAAGCAAGGATTATTATTATTAATTAATGTATGCATTCCTTTTCTAAGAATTTTTAATATATAAGCAGTACATGATGTAGAATTTGCCAGTACTCGACTTTAAATGAATTCTTAATAAATTAGCCGTAATGATGCGCTCATCATTAATCTCGCACTTGTGTCCCTTCACGCCTTGACTTTGTAGAGAACACAGCCAGCTGCCACTGTCATCTGTTGCCAGCACAGCAGTATATATACAACAGAGTAAACCCCACCATATAAAATAGTGCACATCATAAAAAAGAAACAGACACCAGAGAGTTCAAGGCTGAAATCTAATCTCAGACTTCGGATGATATTTACAAATGGTTTGACTTTGTTGTATCAACTTGACATCATTTGAACCCCTTTATTAGACAGGGTAATCACTCCCAGTTGTGCAATGTTCTCTATCATCACATTCAATGAAGTAGATAATCTGTGTTTTACCTTGTTAGTTTTTCATTCCCTCGTGTACCAATGTTAGTGTTACTTATTGTGCCTTTACAACTTCTCGATTCACATCTGTGGAGTTCCTCTCTTTCGCACTTATAAATGCACTGCAATTTTGAAGCAACTTTGTTTTGCTGAAATAGGTTAGAGTTAACGGAATTAATGGCAAATTAGCAGCTATCTTCATAACTTAGCAATCGGAAGCAGATGGTGACGATAAATAGAAACATGTGGGTCTGAGCAGCTGTGCAACAGCGTTCTTCAAGGGTCTTTTCTGGGTCCCTGACTCTCAAAAAATGACTTACATGAGATTATTTCTTTATACTATAACATTTTCTCTTGAAAGTAAATTAAGTAGGCACTTGGGAGGAGAGTAGTGAGCGTGTTCTGGAAGGATGATTTAGATGTGCTGAAGGCTTTCTTCATCTGAAACAATCTTGTGGTGTGAATAACGTATGGAGGACAAACAGTAGTTGAGAAGCTATGGACCAATTAAGCAATATAGTCGAAGAGTGGAGGTTGGACTTTAATGCAGGTAAATGTACAGTAATGTTCATTGGGACAAGAAAATGACCAAGGTAATTTTTGATTATTGATCATTAACTGAATAAATAGAGTGAGTGAGGTAAAGATCATGACAGGCTAAGAATTGTTTGCTTTATGCAAGGAACTGGCTTAATAGACAAATAGACTTTTCTCATTTGATGCTTTCTCAGCAAATGTAACTGGCATTGCATCTGGAATTCCTGTTGTTGACTCTCCCAATAAGATGCTGCTGTAATATTTGTAGATGCATTTCCGCTGAATTGTGACGTCAGTCACAAACCAGAAGGTAATAGTAATAGTATCCGAATTTGTTGAAAAAAAAATGCAAACTTACTGGCTGTTTTGTGGCCAGGATTCTGTCTGGTATTTCAAGCTTTTTCCTCCTCGAGAAATGGTTCGAAAGCAAAACACAAACTGCAGTCACAATGGTTTCATTGAACAGCATCCCCAAGCTCCGATCTTTAAAGAAACAGTATAACATGTTATTGATTCCACAAAAGCAACAATCTTGATCTGAATCCAGGTTTCTTTCATTCTTGAAGGCATGTTGCGGAAACGGACAACTTGGTGAGAAGCAATGAAAGAGTTAAAGCACTCTGTTGAAACTGGTTTTGGCTGCGGGTTTGACCTGTACTCCTCTTGATCCCGACAAGAACATGTCCTGTGCTTTCGTGTGCTGTTTTGCAATTGTTCGGGTTTTGATGGAGTGCTACTGTTACCACACAGGTCAACAGAGTCTAGTTTTATTTAAGGGAACGTTGAGGTCCTGATGAAACAGTGGAGATTTCTCTTCTTCACTGGGCGCTCATAACAAGAGATTGCCAGAAACCTAATTGGTGATCTGATTCCATTCTGTCAGCAATTGTGTTCATTGTAAAGATTCTTTAACACTACCCCAGCCAAGCTGTTTCTGGACACTGTCTGAAACTGATCTGAAAAAGTGGTAATACCTCTTTGAGATTCTTTGGCCATGATGGATTTTCTCATCAGGGAGTATACTGAGAGGACTAGTTAGGAAGGCTGCTGTGGAAGGGAACTTTGACGGAAAGCGCTCCGAGACGCCATCCAGAGTGAAGGGTGCTATAAAATGCATAGTTGTTGTTGTTGTTAATGGGAGCTTGCTCTGTTTTTGCAGGTACATGACTGACGGAGGGCTTAACCTGTATACTCGCAGCATGAACCGAATCCCAGACGTGATGGCCACCCGTGATGTCATACAGAGGGGTGTACCTGATGTCTCAGCAGATGCAGACAGGTCAGGGTCAAATGTTATAGATTGCTGCCGTTTAAGTTTCTTAACACTGTAAAAATGCAACCTGGTCGGGTGTAATAATCCAGTAGCTTCTTTTCTTCTGTACTTGAAGCTGCATCTAGCACCTTGGGATATCATCCCGATGGGAAAGACGCTATACAAATGTAACTTTGTCTTGTATCTAGCAGTGACTGTGTATAGTCATTTAGCCACTGCCTATTTCTGGCAATGATAGGAAATAATGGCTGAATCGTGGACGGGGCAGTCAGCCAGAGGTGGTTTGTTTGAACAACTGAAATACAGACGAACGTTCATTCCATGTACTCCAAGGATACTGAGATCTCAGTAGATAGCTCACATCATATCTGCTATCATTGCAGAGTAAATTGTCTGTCTAAATAACACTTGACCAGTTATTTAAGTGGGTGCTGAAGACTTTTCCATGGAAGGCTTGCTAGTTATTGAAATGGACAGTTTACCCCATCCCTGTAAACTGTATCTGGTCAGTATTGTTGACTGCTTTGCAGTAACTGGATCATTGACTATGACAATGGCTTGTATTCGTGAAATGAAAAATCCCGTCAACTGGTAGAGGACGAGTTGACAATTTGCCCCACAATGCAGCAACCTATGAAACAGGAGAGGGTTGAAACAGTCCCAGTCACAGTGAGTTACACTGGTTGGGATCCTAAGCTGCTGAGCGTGTTGTTTCACACCGTTTCTCAGGATAATTCCTTACATTGTTGATGCTGGTTGGTGCAGTGTAAAGTGCTGCTTCTCTGTGCTCTGATCTCTGCAGCTATCCTGACTCCACTTGTCGTTGCACACCCACAGAAGTGGGAATTCATTCATACATGTGTGGAAATAGAATCCGAGGTGAAGACTTGTTTTATTCCTCCGACACCACCTTCGGTGACTGAGCCTTCAGCAATTATGCCTCCACTCCCTCTCACTACCATTCTATCTGTCTTTAAATCCCATTTAAAAATCTATCTCTTTAACCCTCTGGTCATCTCCCTCCTTCCCCTCTTCCCTTGTTCGGCCTCTGACACCATCCCTATGAAGCGTTCTGAAATATTATCTTACATGGAAAACGCTATATAAATACGATTTGTTGCAAATGCTCCGATATTACCAATTAAACACATTTTGCCGTTTATTTTATAAAAACAGAATCACCTACAGATGGCAGTGCAGGAACCTTTCTGCACATCTTGTAATTGTTGCTTTGGAGCATTCATCACACAGTATTTGAAGAACAATATATAGATGCAACTTACTTAATGGCTCTTATGTCCTCAGGTGTTCATTTGGAGAAGCAAGGCTGGCCAAAGAATCCGCTTCGATCCTTGTTCTGAAAAGGTTTTAGAGTCCAGGACACCTTAACATGCTATAGACGTCAAATGCTATTATATAAAGTACTTTGTATGCACAAGTAGATCATTATAAATACTACTAATAATAGGCTTTGCATTTGATATAATAATAATAATATTTGATATAGCGCCTTGTCACATCTTGGAGACATCTCAGGGTACTTCACAGAATATACTGTAAAGTGAACTGACTATTTTGTGGCAAAATGCAGCAGCCAATTGTGCACAGCAGTGTTCCACAAGCAGTCGTGGATTGAGTGACCAAATTATTATTATTATTTATTTTTCAAACAATTTTGTGGGCAAAAATGTTTGCTAATATGTTTTAGTTTGAAAACTTTTGTAACTTTTATTTTATCTTGGAGAGGATTGACTTTCTTTTTTTGGAAATGAAGGCTCTCTTTATTTCTGCTGTGAGAGAAGGGCTGGGAGACTAAGAGGAATGTGCATCTTTATCAAGAGCGAAACAGCAAACCACGTTTGGCGGAAGCCGTACTATTTTTCTATTGGATTGAATGAGCGATGAACACTTTGAAACAAATTCACTGTGAAAAGAGTGTAAATATACTGTAATTATCTGTTGCTGGCTTCAAACCAGAAACAAATTAAAACAGTTAGCATATCAGCCTGTCATACAGACTTACCCATGAGTCACACAATACTGTTTACTGACCCCTGGTTCAAGTATACACAGAGGAAATGTAATGACACTTTTGCATGGTGCCTAAGTCAGTAATAGCAGATAAAAGGTTTTGGTAAAGGTGCCTTGATATCCGTGTTGCATTTCCTACACAGATGAAGAGCTACTATCTCTTTAGTGGTCTTGAGCTTTGAAAACTATCAGTACTGATGATTGAAGTAAAACAATGTTGTGCAGAGCAATGAGGTTGCTAGCAGTAGATACAGTGGGCTATGGCATTGTGATCAAGCATTTCTTGTATATTTTATTGCAGATGAGCAATACGCCTTGAAGTGAGTTTGCGGCGGTGATATGTGAAGCTAATCAGCTTTTTGAAGTCCGAGAAGTCAGAGATTTGTAGTTTCTGTTAGAGCTTTCTCAAAGCTCTCTTTTGCCAAGTGTTCTGAGCAATTGCATGGTTGGAATTGCAATGGTTGTTGCCAACAGGAACATCATCTGTTTGCCACCACAGGCAGCAGTGTTAATACAAACCTTGTACTAGTAACTGGAATCAGCTGTAAGACAGTTTGTGATCTGCCAGCGAAGAATATTTCACAGCTAGGTGCAGTGTTGATCCACTCCTGCTTTTCTTTTAAAAAGAAATCCCTCTCTCATCTCACTGAGAATTAATTGAAGTCCAGTCACTACTCATTGCGCTGCAGAATGAAATGAATGGTGAAATGAATGGGATGCATACAGAGATTTCCCAGTACCTGAGATGGTTACTGAGCCAGGTACAATAATGATGAAGTTGTCAAGTGAAAGGCACCTCCACAGGATAGATGGGGAAGTCAAGCCAAGTACCTCTGTGGTCAGTTAATAAGGGAAAGTTGAATGATAATGATGATGGGGAAGAAGGCCCTAATATAAGTGGGAAGATATTGTACTTCATTGTTTTGCTGAATATTGAGAAGTCATCGAAATTGAATGTAAAAAGTTATTTTACAGCCTGATCTTTTATAATAATAATAATCCTTGAATTTGATATAGCGCCTCATCACATCTTCGAGACGTCTCAAAGTGCTTCACAGAATATACTGTAAAGTGAATTGTCTGCATATTTTGTGGCTGAAAACCTATTTGGGCAATTCCGCAATCAACAGACTTTGAATTCACATCTCAAATGTTTATGTTTAGGTGCAGTTTGCGTTATCTTTAGCAGCAAGATGCAAAGCTTATTGGAAAATGTGTGTGTTGCTGCTGCTCTAATACATTTCAGACAGATGTAATTGGAGCTGCAAACATTTCAGAAATTGACTTAAGCTTTAATAATAATAAATAATCCTTGCATTTGATATAGAACCTTATCGCATCATCGAGATGTCTCAAAGCGCTTCACAGAATATACTGTAAAGTGAATTGAACGTATATTTTGTGGCAATCCATGGAGCACAGTAATGTCCCACAAACAGTCAAGGATTGAGAGACCATATTATTATTATTTATTTTTGAAGGAATTATTACCCCTGGTAAAGTGATCCTCCAATTGACTAACAAACGGGTTCCTACTTACCTCTAGGTAAACAGGCATCTGGAGTAAGGAAACTTGCCGAAAGTTTCACCCTGCTAGGAATCGAATCCAGGTCTCTCGCTTGCGAGCGATCCAACCACGAAGCTACAGAACTCCTCCATAAGCTCTGCTATTCAGAGTCATTACCCCATTCTGAAGTCTTTGCAGTAATTTTTTCTCTGCTGCCCCAGTCCAGTAAACTTTGCCACAGAGTGGGAAACAGGCCACAATTAAGAATAATGACTCTCTGTCCTGCCGAATTGATTTAAAAAAAAGACCGGAAACACTTTCATATATACCACGACAATGCAGCAGTCTATTTTTTTCTAAATTAGTGGGTGGAAGGACTCCTCATGGGAATTGGGATAGAGCTGTGATTTGAGCAACTGAATTCATAATTGGTGTTTTTTTTTGCTTCTAATTCTAAAATAGTGTATGTCATAGACAGGGGGGGAAAGGGCAAATAATGGTGCAGAAATCGAGCCAGTCAATTAACTATGGGTTAGATTACTTACAACCCCAAAATGTCAATCTTGTTTGCAAATTTCATAATTAGAAAGGCAAAATCGAGTCACAGGAACCCCTCCCTGATTCAATCTATTTTCAGAGAATGATTCCCTAGAGGGGGAATGATGTGCATGACATATAACCAGAATTAAGATATTTTAGTTAAGAAATTTGTTACAGTTACTGCAGAATGGGCCTCATTCTGTCTCGTACTATCAGAAATGTGTGCAGCTAGAGTTGTGTCTCATTGAGAACAGTACAGCTATTTACAGGGCGTATTTTTTGAGCGGTATAATAGGCAGGTTTTAGTTTTTCTTCACACCACTCCAGGATTTTGTATGCAACCATTGTCAGGATTTCTCTCTCTTGATTAAACCCCAAAAAGATTTCTGTTGGTAGACCTTAGCAGAGCAGCCAAAGACCCAGAACAATCATATCAAAATAGATTGCTGATGGCAAATATTCCGTTTCCCCCCACCAGCAAAATATTTTTAAAAATCTCTCGTGCTTAAGGAACAAATATTTATACCTATATCAAATGCAAGGATTATTATTCGCGCAAGGTGAAGTGGATGAGAGGCTATCGGTCAGGGTCATTTATCTGAGGAGTTCCTGACATGAGCTCACAGGTTCAGAATTTATCTTACAGGCAGCGACTGGCTGCTGATTGCACAGGGAGTTTGTCTGTTCACTATTCTTCCTTCTTTGTCTGCTGATGTTGGGGCCCCTCCTGTCACGCATCATTTCCCTACCAAGAATATAAGCAGGCAACCTGTCCCTAGTCCGTTACCAATGCCCCAATTAACTAGCTGCAGGGAGGTGTGTGAAAGAAACATGGTCTGACCTACCAATGATTTCCTCTCCCTCCCTGAGGAGACGTACCTTGTCTCCATTTACACCCGCACTAGATGACCCCAGCTGAGATACAAAA